AAATTATTTTATTTTATTAAAATATTATAAAAAATATAATTTTAATTTTTTAAATATAAATTTAAATAAAAATTTAACATATTATATAATTAAAATTTTATTTTAATCAAATTAAAGTATTCAACAAGAATTTCATATAGGAAGAAAAAAATTTTCAATTATTATTCATATAAATTATTAAATTTTTATTTAAAATTTATATCCAAAAATTTTAAAAATAAAACTAAATCTATTAAAAATAGATGAAGAAAATATCTAATTTAACATGTATTGGGTAATTTGCAGGTCCATTTATATACTTGTAAAAATAATTTACTCTAAATTATCATTTAAATTTAAATAATTGTTTCTAATATATCAAATTAAAATAAACTTAAGTTAGTATATACATATTAAGAAAATTTAAACTAAATTACGTACTCAAACCAAATAACAATACATAGTGAGAAATAAATTAAATTAAATTATGAAAAGAGATGAATCAAGCAAAATCCCTTCCCAAACACAAATAAACAAAAATTAGAAGGATAATCCTATTTAAACATTTTCCCTCCAACGTTACTAAACCCAATCAAAATTTAAGAAGGATCAATTCTCAACAAACAATAATAAGAAATAAATGATTATAATATTTTATATTTTAATATTTTAAATAATATAATTTATATTACACTATCAGAATTAAATTCTAATTTTAAATTTTTTTATCACATTTATTGCTATCTTAAATATAAAACTCAGAGAGATAGGGATGGCATCCAATCCATATCCCTCCACGTAAGCCACTTCTTCCTATTAGTCCGCCCTCGAGTGATTGAAATCACGTGCCCCACCACACCGCCAAAATAATAGTCATTATTTAATCATTTCTTGTTGATAAAAATCCAATAAACAGTGTATAATGGTTTTTCTCTTTTTGTTCTCCACCCTTAACGTATTGCCCTCTCAACCGAGCTAATGTCCTCTTCGCCTCTCCCGTTCACCATCACCACCAAAAAAACCGCCACC